TGAGAGAGAATTATTTTGTGATCAAACTGGGGGGCAAACCCTAGAAATAATAAAAACTAAAAAATCTGACATTTCTGTTATTTTTCTCTGTATAAAATGAAGTAGAAAGAAGAGCCTCACTTAGGCTTACAAGTTCAATTACTTTTTTAAAACAGTGAATGATTAAAAAAGACTCATCTTTATTATCTTATGCCACAGATCTGCTACTTACCTTTTCAATGGTACAAACATAGCAAATCTTGATGTGCTGGGGATGGTCAGAGAATGTTCTTGGACTTAACTAAGCACCCTATTTAACTTCTACTTAGTTACAGTACACTGCAATAAACGGGACCTCGGAGATTAGTGACTGATCAGGAACTGTCAATGACAGCACTAAAATTAAAGTGATTCTTCCTCTATGTACATCTTTAAAAAATTTAAACTTTATGAATAAGCTTAGCTTTTATGACAAGATCAAGTATCTTTTCAAGAACATGGTAAAGCTTGCAATGTTAAATCTCCAATATATTAATGAAATATCTAAGTCATAGATTTAGCGTGAAGATAAATTGTCTTAAGCAACTGGTCTTTTATATTAAAGAAAGAGATCATGCCCTGAACTATTTTCTTCTCATCTATCAATACAAAGACATTCAAAAGCATAAAGGTTCAACTGAGCACCAATAAGACTAAAATTTGATAAAGCAGTTGCATTTGGGACTCCCCAAATTCTGTCAGCTCCCTCCTCACCTCTCGTACATCTCTCTGTAACTTTGTATTCATTTCTTCAGACTTTATCAAGTCTTTTCTGGCTGTGTCAAGATCTTCTTCCAACTCTGCCACTCTGCTGGACAGAGCAGTGAGACGTTCTTTCATTTGTGTCTGCTCCTTGTTTTGCTTATCTATAATGTCTTGGAGTTCAATCACTTTAGTAAGGTTTTCATCATGGCATAAAGAACCATCAGAGGATCTCTATTAAACAGGAAAAAAAACCAACTGTATTTGGCATGTTGCAAATAAGATTGAAAAACAAACTGTTACTCACCTGTAAAAACCCCTCCACAAGGATAATTTTATTATTGGATAGACTGCAAAAATTGAAATTGTGGTAGCTAAGACTTTTTAATTAGATGATCGTGCAAAAATATCTTATTATAGTTTAAAACGTTACAGGTAATGATTAAAAGTCAGATATCAAGTAAATAGCTGTACCTTCCCATTTGTAGTCGGTGTATTTTCTTGTTCATGATTTATATCCAGCATCCCATCTGGAAGTGTTTTCTTCTGATTATTTTGCTCTTTCAGAATCATTAACTAAAAGAAAAGTTTACACACACATGTTTCAAGTCAATTTCTTTCTCACTAATAATATAAGGAACAGCTGAAAAAGCAAAGGAGCAAAATAACAATTACTTATTCTACTGCAAAGTATTTATTAATAAAACAGCACAGGCACCCAACTTAGGCCACTGCAACCCAAAAATTCTTATTTTAAAGCCATATGAACTCTTTCCTTTCTTTTATTTTGTTTTCTTTGGGGGCTTTTTGGGGTTTTTTTGGGGGGGGCAGGAGGTGTCAGAGGGTTGAGGTTTGTTTTTTTCCCCTCCTGCTCTTTCAAAGCAACCGAGTTAAAAATTATTGTTGTTCCATTTGGCAAAAAACCAATAGCAAGAAGCAAAAGTGAAACTTAATAAACTACTATGTATTTTATTAATATTGACTAAACTGCCCACAATGCACATATGAAGACTTAACTTTTAAGACAGAAACCTACCTCTTTATGTGTAGTGCCTAGTTCTTCTTCCAATAAACTACATCTTTCAAGTGCTACTCGTAACCTCTCCCTTACCTGAAAAGATAATTTCAAAGTATTTGAAATCATTCAAATCAGAAAGAAATCAATTTCATTTACTGCCATGCCCTTTCAGACAATAAATGACACTATTTCCATTACACCTGCCTAATCTGCAGTCAGTACTAATTACAACACAAAAAAATAGCCAAATAATGTGTATCTTAAAAATCTAGTTTTTCCTTTTTTGTCACAAGCAAATAGTATTTCAAGATGACCTGTATATTTAGGCAAGAATTAAACATGCCCAGAATTTGCTTGTTCTTTTGCAAGGCACAGAGTGTGTAGGCTTTTGCTTATTTCTGCTTAAAAAGAAGAATTCTGCCTAAAGTAATTTGCCACATTTTATATCCAAGGGTCACAAAAGTCAGGTAAACTGTGAGTTGGCAACAAAACTCACAGTGAACTTTAGGACTTGCATATCCTGCTGCCAATATCAGGCACAGTTGAAGGGAGGGGTTCCTTTAATTCAGCTGCATATCACAGTGTAAGCAGATTCCTCTCTTCCTGTTCTCTCTTCCTTATATTACATAATCAAAAGACTAAATTCTGATATTGTAGAGCTAAGCAACTGTATGCAATCCTACAGCAAATATATTGCCACTGAACCATGCTGAGTTTACATTAACGGAGCTAATGAAATACTAGAATCAACCACAGCACCTTGATTTATTTCCACATTAATTTAGGAGAGCAGGTACTGGATGTAGTTACAGTTCAGAGATTTCTACAGCTTTAGCACAAAATGGCCCACACAAAAGAGGGGACAGGATGAAGCACAATATTTCATTACCTTTTCATCAAGGGCTTTATGGTGCTCAAATAAAGATTTTAGTGCTTTGAGAACTTCCACTTCACTAGAAACTCCTGCTGGAGACTGAGCTTGCCTCTTCACCACAGTCATTCTCAGAGACCGCTCATGCCTGGAGACAAGACACTCCAGATGTTCCAGTAACAGCTAAAGCAAGAAAAAGGAACAATGTTTATTCCTATTCTGAAAAGCTGCAGAAAACTTTGCCTCCTAGAACATTAAGTTTTGAGCTCTAAACTTCAAATCTCAGAGACAAAGAACGTTGTATCAAGAGTAAGGACCTGTTTTTAACATTTGACCTGCATTAGCAGTGTAGGCTGCTCAAACAGATCCCTACAACCCACCCACTCTGCTCCTCTGATCCCAGGAGCTGTGAGATTACAAAACTTTCACAACCAGAAAGCTGAATGACAGACACAGTGCAGTCTTACAAGCTTTTCCTGATTCCGCACAGCAGCATCTGGAGCTGTGCATATAAGCTTCCAAACTTTCTTAATCAACATACATTTGCACTTCCACGGGGATTCATATGCAAATATTGGGGAAAGAAACACTTCTAGCTTTTCAAATTCAACATTTAGTGTTTTCCGCCATTCTTTAACAATGGTGAGCTTGGAGAAGACAAGGAACTAACCCTGGTATTATTTCTTTCTGCTTTCAGTTCAGCTATTTCTTCTTCCCTTTCCAGCAGCTGCTCCCTGCATACATTGAGCTCTTTTGTAAGTGCTGCAAATTCCTGGAATAAACCAGACAGAAATATCAGGATACAGTGAGAGTGGATTCATGTGAACACCTGACAATTTCTTGAAGCATTCAGATGACTAAAGTCAATACAATTTACAGTCGTGCTTAGGTTCAAACACTTAAAACGTTATGTTACCAACTGTAAAGACAAAAAAAACCCTGTGAAGACAGAAGATGTTTGACCAGTACTTTTGAAAACTCATTTGTCTCTCAAGGCAATTGTCTGAGTTGGGGTTTCCCTGGTTTCATCATGGCTTTAGGAAGGCTCCTGGTACACAATGGGAAAAACACATTTGTAATGCATTTTTTTATGGTTTCAAAGAGCTGTTTCTTTTGTGTATTTGTTTTGTTTGTTGTGGGTTTTTTTTTTAACAACTGCTAAGGGAGACACAACAAAACAGAGCCCAGTAAAATAAAGAAATCAGAAAACATGATAAACTTCAAGTCAGGATGTAATTGTGAGAGACAATGCATAACCCTGCCATCTACCAGAATACAGCTACATACTGGAATTTCATTTATGCCTTCTTTCAAGTCTCACAAAACAGAACTGAAGCAGTGCTTTCCCTACAGTCCTGCTGGAAATCTCAGAGGATTAGAATCAGAATTTTCTCAAAGCCGAGCCCTTGCTCAAAGCCCTCACGAGGCTCACCCTTCAAATTCAGTAAAGATCTCACCAAACAAAGCTCAACCAAAGTGAAATAATACAGAGTGAAGTGTCATCAGGGAACAGGTAACTCAAACAGTTACTGCATGTTTATTACTACAGTGAATACAGAGTAGTCAACATTAAAGAGTACCTTTCTACAGTTTTGGGTTTCTGTCAGGAAATGATTATAGCAGTATCTGAAAGAGCCACTCCTTCCTACACCACTTCTGCTCTCTATCAACAGCCTCACTAAAAATATTCAACATAAAAGGCATTTAAATGTTTTATCATCTCACAGAGCACACCCTGAATAGAATAAATGGTACAACTAAACACCACATTTAGAAGCAAATGCAGAGCATAACCTTATCTACCTACCTACTCTGGCATAATTTAAGTTGTAATCTCAACCATGTTGGCAATTAGAATTAATGCAAAAAGTAAAGGTGTGAATGTGAACAAGTCCATGTTGTAGAAAAAAGCTTGTAGGAAATGGGAAAAAAACTTCATGTGCTACCAACACAACTTAGGATGTGAAAATAGATATGCATCTGTCACTCCAATGGCCAGTGAACACTTAAGAAGCACTTAGATAAGAAAACATTGAAATATTAGTAAATAACAGTCTTTTTTGTTGTAAAATAAGGAAAACACTAATAAAAAAGTGACGTGTCTAACAAACAAACGCTTATTTAATAAACAATGGATTGGTACAGCTGAACTGGTGATGATCAAGACAAGGTGAACAACACAAATGGCCACCTAAGCGGAGACACACCATGCGCACAAACACTGTTTCTCTAATTTTTTCAAACTCTGCAAAATATACTGTTTAACAGATAGTAGCAGCATGTCAAGTGAAAGCTTCAGATGGAGCTGTTTTGCAGCAAAATTCAAAGTGGCAGGAGGCACATGCTTAAAAACAAAAGGCCACGTCAACCAATTACACTACACTCTGTAAATTCTAACTTGCAGCTAAAACAGCCAGACACAGTCCAAGGACACTGCCATTTCCAAGATTCACTGGGAAAACTTTATTCTAAAATATACATGTGACTGAAGAGACAAAAAGTCTGTTGCACATTACATACTTACAGTGAACTCCTTTGGAATTAGTCATGTATGAGGCTTTTAAAAGTGGTAAAGACAGTAATCCCACCATCACAGATGCAGAATCCACCCCTATAATCCCTCTTCCTAAATAAAAACCTGCTTATTGGAGGAAAGTTTCAGTATAGTCTCCTGGTTAATCAGCAAATAACTGCAAAAAGTCTAAATTTATTTTCTTTTTTCAACTGCTAAAAAAATGACTTCTCTACCACACTTCATAATTACACACATAAATATTTCACTGCAATATTTTATTTGCATTCTTAAAAAAAAAAAAAAGAAAGAAAGGCCTATTAATTTCAAAATGGCCTGGAAATACACTTAGGAGAAAAAATAAAAAGTAAATCCAGCTACTGGAACTTTTATACACACAATTACAAAAGGGTCCTGGGTGCAAGTAAATCAAGAAAAATCTACTTCAGGCTTCACTTGAGCTGACAGAAAAATTGCCTCTACTACAAGCTGTTCCTTGACATCCAAACTTTTCCTATACCTTCAACATCCCACCTGTGAGACTTTCCAGGACTCTGTGTGAGCTTCACCAGCTGTGTACTTGAAAGGAAGTCTATTCACTCCTCAAATGGTTGTAGCACAGAGAGTTCTATCCCACTGCATACTTGTGTGCAAATATAAACTGTAGCACAAATACATCAATTCTGACACGAACCATCACCCTTGTCAGATGACCCAAAACAATAGAGCACCCGGGAATTTATATTGCTGCTGCATAAACACATTGGCATGAACTTCTGGCATTGCACAATAACCTCCACTGCTGGCTGTTTTGACAAAATACCATTGCTTTGAGTCCCGTGAGCTGTCTAATAAAGAACATTTGAATGTCCTTAGTTTCAGCTGACACTGCCAAAAGATATGTCCTTTCTAGTTTTAATACCTACCTCCACTGGTAGACAATTTGTGATTTCCCCAAGCAGCTCAGGAGAGAAACTATCTGCAACTTTATAATCTCCAAAAATTCTGAGTTGTCTCATAATTTCTTCTTCGGCATTAGATGAATGTGCAGAAAGAATTAAAGGAAAAAGGGAAAATCCTGAGAAACTTTCCTACTTATCCTAAAAGTTGATTATTTTTCAGTAATTAGGAAGATTGAGATCATCAGTTCTGCTCAAAATAACAAGTTGACTAGAATGGCACTCACAACAAGCACTTTCAAAGCACACACAGAAGAGAGAGTGCTGAATTTTCCAGGGAAATATTCCCTGTTGATCAGAACATTCTGGCAAACACCCATATGCTGCACTAAACTGAAATGTTTACTGGAGAAAGTCAATTTCTGACTCAACTGCATCATTCCAAACACATCTCTCTTGCTGCCAGAAATAAATACTCTCAACAAAAAGCTACATCGAGCAAGTAAATTTGTTCCTGTTCAGCAATACATCTTCAGGGGTTTTTTTGTTCACAAACTCTATGATTTTTTAAAGCAAGAACACTTCTTCTCCACCAACCTTCAGAACTGACCTCCAACCTTTAATATTTTTGAGGTCACAATAAAAACATCCTTTCAAAAATTGGATCAACTGGTGCCTGGCTGTAAAGCCTGCACATTTCTGATGTCTGAGCTGACAGACACTTGGGTACTTCCAAGATCCCAGTCCAGGAACATTAACAGCTTTCAGGGAACAGGTTTTCTTCGTGGTTATTACGAACATAATTTATAGGCTCCACAGATAGTACATGACAAACCAATAAATGCTAGATGACAGGAAGACTATATTTAACCTAGGGGGAAAAACTTGAAAGGAACACAGGTAATCCCTGGAAGTCTGTTAATATAAGCTGTGTATTAGGGATCCTCTACAGACAATGAACTGTAAATTTTCTGGGAATTTGATCAAGAAAAAAAACCTTATTCCACAAGAAATGCAACACCTGTGAGTGCATAAGGAATCACAGATTACAGGCAACAACACGGCCAAAAAACACATAAAGGATGGAAAGATAAGTAAAGAAAACCCCAAACATTTTCAGTTCATCAAAGAACATACTACTATTAAAGTACTGTAAAATACCACTGTTAAAACACTACTTTTAAAGCAGTAACTTCAGGCAACAGAAACAAAGTTGCAACTGTTGCATCTTTAGGAACATCTCTGAGAGAAATATACGAGTGGAATTTATCTCTTTAATCTCCAAGTAATATTTTGTTTTACTGTCATTCTGGTTTGTAGCCTGAATATCAAACAACCCACTCACAAAGCTGAGCAGCTGAAAGGACCACAAGAAGAACAAGTGGGGAAAGTGCAGGACATCAGGGATGGAAACCAGTGAGATCTGTGATAAGTTTCCAGCATGATGTTTACACCACATATAAGCCACAATTATTCCAAATGATGCATGCATGGAAATGACAAATATACACTCTTAAGGAAAACAATCAAAGAAAATTTAAATATTTAAGCTTAACAGGGTATTTCACAGTCACTTCACTTCAAGGGTTTTAGGGAGCACACAGGGACCAAGATCCCCAATATATCTGAAAGTTCCTAACAAGCAAATTTAGGTTCAACCAGTTTTGGTTTGGGTTTTTTAAGCTAAGAATCAAAACAATTAAATACTTCAAGGGTATTGAGAGTTAAAACTGAAAAGAAATGATATGTTTTCATCATTAAATCCAGCCCTCGAAGAAAACACAGTTATACACACTTTAACAGCAACAAATCCAGAAAAAACAAACCACCAACACACATTATGCTTGGCCAGTTCCGCGTAATAAAACAGATTGCTTTCAACCTTTCCATATCTCTGGCATGTGCTAATGGGAAAGAGAAAAATCAGCCTGGAGTGTGCAAAGAAAAATATTTTGCTTTTCACCTCATGAAATTAATTTCCAGTAAGTATCAAGCAGCCTGGATTTACTAACCTGGAATCATAAAACTTATTTCAAGCAGTAAGAGAAACAGTTCTATGAAATAAGTCTATATTTTGTTCTCAAAAACCCCAACAACTTAAAAGGAAGTGTAAGAGAATAATTAAAATATGGATATGTCAAATTCTTGCATTTCAGAACACTGAAAGGCTTTTCATGCTTAAAGTAGCTGTTTTTTCAACTACAGCTGAGTGAGAATATACTGGAGCTCATTATATAATTAGTGTATTGACCTCCTTTCCTATTTCTGTGTATGCATAAGATGTTTTATAACTCAAAAGACAACTAGCAAAACCCAGGTGCAGATTTCTCTACTCTTAAAAAAACTCTCCCATCCCAACTA